GAAAGAGGGGGAGGCCTTCAAGGAGATGGATTGATACGGTGGCTGCGATGATAGGCTCAAGTATAGCAGGGATTGTGGGGCTGGCGCGGGATCAGGCAGTGTTTCGTTCTGCTGTGCATGGGGTCGCTATGAGTCGGAAACGACTCGACGGCACTTAACAACAACAACAAAGAAGCTTTATCACCTATGATCTATGGGAACAAATCTTTGTAATGAGCACCCCCTAGGATATTTTGGAAATATCCTGCAACACGTGGTTGGACTTTCTTTTATACCTGGTATTGTGTGTCCACTTGTACTGAACAATTTTTCCAGTTCTTGGTACAGCTAATTTTTTCTGAGGGAATATTAGTTTCCAGGGCCTAACTTTATTGACACAAACTAGACAGCCATATTTAGGAGAAGAAACATTTACATAGAGAAATATATTTTACAGATTTGTAATATCCAATAAAGAAAACAGAACTCTCATATAGCTATAGCTGAAAATAGGTTCTATGGCTTTCAACTATTGAGCTTTGTGTTTTTAGAGCATAAAAATAATGTTGGTTGAAGGCAAGTCATGAGAAAGGCATGTAATAGGAATAGTGATGAGTTTTGCTCAAGATTTAGCCATTAGATCCATTTAACTGTAATGAATGGAAGACAAGGCTTAGAAGGTAAGGTGGTGAGGAAAAAGAGGATTCACAACAAGCTAGAGAGTACCTAGATTTGAAACCTAATATGGGAGCATGAGGATGTCCGGGTTCTCCAGTACTGCTATTAACAGAAATACCAAGTTTATTCTCTTAACAGTTTAGGAGGCTAGAAGTCCAAGTTCAAAGTGCCATCTCTAGGGGCCAGGAGGAGGCTCCTCAACTGTGGACTTCAGCGATGCCAGGCCCATTGGAGCAAGCTAAAGCGTTCTTATGCAGCTGCTGGCTGCTGAGGCTGATGAACCCAAGATCGACAGGTAAAATGGCACAATTGTTAGCAGACAATACATACAGCAGGCCACTGGTTATCCAAATATGCCAAAAAGCTATAGACCTTCCTCAGAATTTCCCCATATATACTGTAAGCAGGCCAAACCCTGAAGGCTCCTCACAGCAGAAGTCTACCAGGGAGTTGATTCCAACGTCATAATGAGGAAAAACTGCATCCAGCTGCCAAGCACTCGAAACCAAGGCCTGGCTAAACTGACACAACCTTAACTACCACAAGAAGCAAAGAATCCAGTGACTCAGAAAAAGAACATGTAACAATTTTATTAATCTATTAGGAAAAAAAACAAGTAAGTTACAATGCAAGCTGCATCCTCATCCTGAGCTAAATCCCTTAGTTTAAGAGTTCATAAGTACTAGTTCTCAATGTTCAAGGTTAACTTTTCAATGATTTCTCCTGGAAGTAAGATTTACAATCATACTTTTTCACTTCTACTATGAGAATAACAGTGTATTCTGCTTTCTATCACCTTGTTCATCAGAACACTCTCCTGTGTACTGTATTATATACCATTTATGTAAGAGAAGGAATGATGTGTGGGGCTATCACTCCATTAGTGCTTAAAATTTAATTTGTGCAACAGTAAATTGGTAATTTAATAAAACTACAGCAATGACAGGCCCCAAAGAGATGATGTGTGCCCCACTACCCTTATAGAGATGCAGTGCAAAGGTGGCAACTAGAGAGGTCTATTAAAAAAGTTCAACTTCATGAATATTCTTATCTCAGGTGCACTTCAGACTGACCCCCTTGGCACAATCAGTAGCCTAGAAAGCAGACTATGGCAGGAGAAGGCACCTTTCTCTGGAATCTCAGAGATGTCAATTTCTGCCTGAGATGGTATCTAGAACTATTAATGGGGAGGAACTTAGCTGTTCTGTGGTTGAGATCATCATGGCGTTTGCAGCCACAAAGCTGCTTCTGGGTTGACTGAAGTGGCTTTGGAATTTCTAGGAAATGCAATTCTTCACAATTTTAGAGATTACAAGTGCTGCTACAAATTACATAGCTGCAGGAGAGTGAAGATGTTCATTTGTGTGTTTATGTATCTGGCAAGCAGTCCCCAAGAGGAGTGTTAATTTAGGGATGAATGGTGAGGTGATTACATAAGGTGTTCCAGTATCAGGGACTAATGTAGAGCTGGCATGCTCAATGTTGACCACTACTGCCTGGAATGAAGGGTGATGAGTCTTCAACTGTCATGGCTTGTTGCCCTCTTCTGAGATGATACTAGAATGTGGGCAGATAGACTTACAGCATTTCTGGCTGCTTATACACTTCGGGCTGCAGCCACCATTACTAAGACGTGGGCAGATTGGACTGTGGCATCTGTCCCTGCTGCCCTCCCTGGCTAGCCTGCTGACCCTGGGGCTGCTGCTGCCATTGCTGGGACATGGGCTGACAAGTTTGCAGCATCTGCCCTGGCTGACCTCCCCAGCCAGACTTCTGGCCCTGGAGATGCTGCTGATACTGAAATGTGGGCAGATAAACCTGCAGCATCTGGCCCTGCTGCCATCCCTGGCCAGGATGGTGGTCCTGGGGTTGCTGCTTCTTCTGCTGCCACTGCTGGGACATGGGCTGGTAGATCTGTGGTATCTGCCCCTGCTGCCCTCCCTGGCTAGGCTGTTGGCCCTGGGGCAGCTGCTGCTTCTGCTGCCAGTGCTGGCATGTGGGCAGACAGGACTGCAGCATCTGCCCCTGCTGCCCTCCTTGGTTAGGCTGCTGGCCCTGGGGTGGTGGTGGTGGTGGTGGTGGTGGTGGTGGTGGTGGTGGTGGTGGTAGCTGCTGCTGCTGCTGAGACGTGGGCAGACAGGTCTGTACCATCTGCCCCGGTTGCCCTCCTTGGACAGGCTGCTGGCCCTGGGGCTGTTGCTGATATTGGAATGTAGGTCGATAGGTCTGAAGCATCTGCCCCTGGTTCCTTCTCCAGCCAGGCTGCTGGCTCTGGGGTGGCTGGTGCTGCCATTGCTGGAACACAGGCAGATAGACCTGTAGTATCTGCCCCTGAAACCCTCCCTGGCCAGGCTGTTGCCCCTGAGGCTGCTGCTGATACTGGAATGTTGGCAAATAGAACTGCAGGATCTGCCCCTGCTGCCTTCCCTGGCCAGGCTGTTGCCCCTGGGGCTGTTGCTGATACTGAAATGTGGGCAGATAAACTTGCAGCATCTGACCCTGCTGACCTCCCTGGCCAGGCTGCTGGCCATGGGGCTGCTGCTGCTTCTGCTGCCGTGGCGTTTTCCCCTGCTGCCCTCCCTGACCAGGCAGTGGGAGTGGTGGCAGTGGCTGCGGCTGCGGCTGCTGCTGCTGCAATTGCTGGGACATGGGCTGACAAATCTGTGGCATCTGCCCTGGCTGACCTCCCCAGCTAGCCTTCTGATCCTGGGGCTGCTGCTGATAATGGAATGTGGGCAGATAAACCTGCAGCATCTGCCCCTGCTGCCTTCCCTGGCCAGACTGCTGGTCCTGGGGCTGCTGCTGCTTCTGCTGCCACTGCTGGGACATGGGCTGGTAGGTCTGCAGCATCTGCCCTTTCTGCCCTCCCTGGCCAGGCTGTTGGCCCTGGGGCAGCTGCTGCTTCTGCTGCCAGTGCTGGGATATGGGAAGATAGGACTGCAGCATCTGCCCCTGCTGCCCTCCTAACACAGGCTGTGGTAGCTGGGTCTGCTGCTGCCATTGTTGGGACGTGGGCTGATGTGTCTGCAGCACCTGCTGTCCTCCTTGGCCAGGCTGCTGGCCCTGGGATGAACGATATTGCTGAAGTATCCTCTTGAGGCTCTGATCTAAGAGCAGCTGCCAAGAAGGAAACTGTCGAAGCAGCGCTTGGAGCAGCCTTCTCATTTCTGACTGTGGCTCTCTCAGGCCAAGAAGTATCTCCTGGGGATTCTTTGGGTGCTGGGATTTTAGAAAATTCTGTAGAAGAGTCTTGAATGCTGGATTCAGTAGTTGTTCCCACTCAGGACATTCCTGCAACAACTGCTGTAAGAGTTTGCGATCCAGTTGCTGAGAGAGCCCTATGTCTTCCCTGTAGGAGTCAGTCAGGGACCTCAGAGAGACCTGTTCTGGGGTCGGGTTTTGATTCTGACTCCCTTGTTCGTTAGGCAAAAGGGATATACTGGGAGAAAATGATGAAAGTGAGAGAGCAGTCTGAGGCTGCACTGTTGGGCCAGTGGAAGGGGGTGAATTGTGCAAGGCCCAAGGTCCCAAGCTTGCCCTGGACATCACAGAGGGATCTAGGGCCACGTTTATGCTTCTGACGCCAGGGCTTCCAGAGCTGGACTCTTGCCCAGGAACATGTTGTGTCTTCCCAGAACAGCTGAGGGTAGCAGGCTTCTCATCAGGGGCCTGTAGAACAGGCTCTTCTTGTCCAGGAACTTGGCTCTGTCCCCAGGAGGCCATTACTTTCTTTGCCTATGTCCAGCTCTGCAATCTAAAACTAAAACAAGTTGGAGAATAAGAAGAGAGAATGTTAATCTAAATTACCACTTCAGTCTCATAGTGCCCTACCATGAAATAGGAGTATTTTATTACTAAGCTCAGTCTCAGCATTATGGTCACCTTGCCAGTCACCTGAAGCTAGAGACATAGCTCAGATCCTCAGCCAAAATTCAGAGCTCTCCATGCATGGTCTGGGTCCATTCCAGCTTTCTATGATCTTTCCATGATATTCCCTTCCTTACAGGCTTCTGGATACCTACTTCCATGGCCCATGTTCTCCCACCAAGATGCCTTGACTAAAGCCCTTCCTACCATATCCTTAAATCGTGACAATCCCTTTTCATCTCCCAAGACACATGTGGAAAGTAATGTATGTTTGCTGACATAATTATTTCTATGGTGACATCACTGCATTCATCTATACCTTATCTGTGGAGGTAACACACAGGAGAATGATAGGTTGCAGGCAAAAGCAAAATCTAAAGCAGTGTTTTCATCAGAAGCACCTGAGTAGCTACTAAAGCACACAGAGGCCCCAGTGCTCACATATGGTAGACCCTGGCTGGACTTTGTAGTTATACCAAGCTTCCCAGGTGTTTCTTATGCAAACCACTTTAAGAATATCCAATCTCAAATCTAAGTGCGTAGGCTTAAGTCCTGCTCTAACATTTATCAGGTGTGTGGCCCTGTGACATCAAGAATCTCTCTGAACTTCACTTTCATTATGCAAAAAACAGAGGTAGTAAAACATGTCCGACATTTTTAAAGGTTTCTGAAGGTGAACTGAGGACTTTAGAGCCTGCAAGGCACTATGCAAATATGTCTCCATCACAGGAGGAAAGCAGCAAAGTCTGAGGACACTGCTTGTTCCCACATCAGGAATCTCCTCCATTCTGAAACAGGTGAGGTTTCAAAAGGACTTTGCAAGGACAGCATATAGGGACAGAAAGAATTTGATCCACACAGATTGGTTAGGCTTTTTAAAAAGGCATGTAAGCATGTACAGTATGCCAGACAATTTCAAACTTTCATTCTCATAATGACCCTGAGATGGAGCATCAGCTTGGTAAGGATCTGGTAGACTGACTTGTATGTTCAAGCTGCACAGAGATGTGAAGAAAATATAGCATTGGAAGCCCCTCAGACTCGGGGAGGCGGGGGATGGACTCACTACCATCAAATCATTTCTGACTCATAGTGACCTCCTTTGGGCTTCCAAGGTGGCAAATCTTTATGGAAGTAGATTGCCCAGTCTTGCTTCCATGGAGTGGCTAGTGGGTATGAACTGCCAGCTTCTGGTTAGCACTCAGGTGCCTTAGGCCTTACACCACCAGAGCTGCTTCTCATACTCAGAGTTGAGTGAATACCTAGTGTCCCCTCAATCTTTTCCATACAGAATATAGGCTATATGACAAAAGTAACAGCGCTCCCAATGTCCTACCCTTTCTTCCCAGGGCACAAGTGCCTCTCAAAGAGAACTAGGCAGTGTGAAAATTATGCTAGACTTGACCCATCAATCCCCACCTGGAAGCCCAGCACTCTGAGAATCTGACATCCAAGTATCCAAGCCCAGGGACTTATCAGTAACAAGGCAACCGATACACCAGGTGCTTATCATGATTTTCAAGCTTCTTTCAAAGCTGCTAAGATCAACCAACTCATGTGGTAGCCTCCTTCTCAGACACCTAATGAATCCTATTGTCTGCTTTCCTTCCAGGAAACCTTGTGGGATTTTGATTACTGAGTATACCAAATCATCACTTCATTTTCTCCCCTTCGACTACTGACCTACCAAGGGCTGGGTAAGAGGGGTGCTACTGTCCTACTTACATGCCTTTTTAAAAAGCCTTTTTAAAAAGATTGCTCAGGTTGGGCAATCTACTTACATAGTGATACTGCCTCAGAAACCCAAGGAAGGGTTGCTATGAGTCAGGGCCAACTTGACAGCACATAACAACACAATAACAACATCTGGATGGTAAGGAGCTCTAGTGGTGTAGTGGTTAAGGCAATCTGGCTGCTAACCGACAGGTTGGTGGTTCAAACCCACCAGCTACTCTGTGGAAGAAAAATGAGGCAGTCTAGTAGTGTGTAAAGATTTACAACCTTGGAAGCCCAGTGGGGATCACTATAAATCAGAATTGACTCAAGTGACATTGAGTTTGGTTTTGGGTTGATCTGGATGGCAAAAGCTCTGGTGGTGCTGTGATTAAAGCACTGGGCTGCAAACCAAAAGGCCAGTGGTTCACATTCCCTACCCATTCTGGGGGAGAAAGAGGAGAGAGGCAATCTGCTTCCATAAAGATTTACAGGCTTGGAAACCCTACAGGGCAGTTCTACCCTGTTCTGTAGGGTCACTATGAATGGGAATTGACTTATTGGCAGTGGGTTTGGTTTTATCTGGATGGCAATTATCCATCCTCCCAGATTTAAGAAGCCATTCTAACACACCCACCACATAGGAATCAAATGAAGCAGGGCAAAAATGTTTCCCCAGAAGGCACTAACCTTAGATGAGAGCGTCTGGTTCTCTCCGCACCACCAACTCCTATCTCCACAGCCCAGCCCTTGTCTTTTTAAAGCTTGAATTTTAACAATTAGCTATTTAAATCACCTGGAATCACTTCAGTGTATGAGCTGAGGCTCCCAATTAAACTGTTTTCCAAATAACATTTCCTGCCTATAAAATGAGAAACTAAAAACAACTATAATAATTAATGGCAAAGTGAAGGGAAGCAAGTACCCCATACAATGCTAATGGCACTGTAAATAGGTAAACCCTTTCCTGAAACAATCTAACAAGGTAATTTGTCAGAAAAACAGGTATTATCCCCTGCTTGTAAATTCCTTCAGGAGATTCCAGCTTAAAGGAATCATTATCTACAAAGCAGTGGTTCTAAAAGTGGCGCCCCCAGACTAGTAGCATCAGTTCCCACCTAGGAACTTAGGAATGCATGTTTTCAGGCCCACTCCATCCCTCTGGAATCAAAAGTTCAGGGAGAGGACCCAACATTGTGCTTTAAGAAGCCCTCCAGGTGACTGTGATACATGCTCAAGTTTAAGAACCACTGCTATGATGGTCCCCAAACTTGGCTGTATAATGCTATCACTTGCGCAGCTTAAGACAATCCCTCCCGAGTCTTTTTTATTTAATTGGTCTTAAGTGTGATCTGGGCAAAGCTCTCCAAGTGATTGGAATGTGTTGTCACGTTTTAAGGATTGTCCCAATAAAGGAGGGCTCCGTTATAACTTAAATGCTGTATTTTGTTTTTATCAGCTCAGGAAAATACATATGTAACCTAAATCTCGGTATTTTAAAAGCCCAGGTATAGTCATTCAAAATGCAAATTACAAAGATTATATTTTAAAATTTATTAGGATATAATTTCTGTATCAATTAATTATGCATACTTTAAAATCCAGTATTACTTACAGAGGAAAAAAGACTGAAATAAATGAAAATGTTAAATGTACTTTACTTATATGTTGTAAACTAAGACTTTTTTTCTATTGATCTTCTTTTCTCAAATGCTTTTAAATGTGCATGTGTTTTTAAATAATTACGATCATTTTAGTTTCCACAAAAGCTACTGGATGAAGTAACGTCGTGCCTTAAGATACAGGCAAGTACACGAATGGGCCAAGAGATTTAAGAACTCAAAAACTATATTAGGTTTTTAAGGTATCATTTCAGATGAGTAAAATGGTATCAATATATCATAAAAACCAAAGAAAAAAAAGAAAACTCACTGCCATTAAGTAGGATCCTACTCATAGTGACCCCTCCTTAGGTTTAGTGCACACATTAATTAAACTTTTTCTTCATTGGGCATATTAATCTTGATGAAAATGAAACCTAAATAACATATTAGCTCTCAGAGAAAATGGAGATAATCTGAGATGACATAAAAAGAAAAACAACAACTTGATAGGGTAAGAACCTCTGAATCAAAATGGACTTTAATATTTCACCTTGGAGAGAGAAAGAAAGAGACATTAAGACTCGTTGATTGAATGATTTTATCTTTTGGAAGCCATCTATTGTCCATTCTGTTTCAAATTCTTAAAAAGAACCATAAATTGAATATAAGGTATGTTCTGATACCTCTAACACACCCTACATAGTATGATCAAAACAGTCTGCTTCCTGAATGCTTTTAAGGAATAAACTACCAGAGGGAAATAGGTAGAATCCAAATTTAAGCATATTTTAAACACTTAAAAGGACTGTGTCAGTAGTGAACGCATATAAACACTTTGAGGTAGAAGATATCCAGTTATATGGGAGAAAATTTCATTCCTCCTATTATTTCATTATTATATTTCATATAATAATGTGATAGATAATGAGGATATTTTACATCACTTAAAAATTAATTTGTCTCAGGTTTTGTAGTTCTCTTGAATAAAATCTGCTTGGTACCAAAAACGATAGAAATCGTACTCTTCTTTTTCATACAATTTGAATCAGGTTTTCTACATTTCTATTACTCAGGGATCAGTATCAGCAAATTGCACAGAGCCTCTGTATAAGTCTGGTGTCCAAATCCTCTCTACATAATCAGATGTTTTAAATAACAGCTTTATAGTGTTATAATTCACATCCTATAAAATTCACCATTTAAGTGTATACATTACTGGTTTTCAGGATATTCAGAGTGGTGCAACCACTATCTA